TTGGATGAGGATAATTATTTTCACAACATAAAATCGAATTTTTATCAAGAAAACATTTTATAGTAATTATCTAAATCCAAATTAAGCCAAGAAATCCAAAAATCTGCCAGACCCGCACCACCTCGTGGTGATCATGCAGAATCCAAAAAAAAGAGACGATTTTTTCAAGCTTTGAAAACAAGTAGCATCAAGTATGATGGAAAACAACACATGTCTCTGATACCACTGTTGGGTTTTGTATACTACAACATCCTATGGTGCACATACAACCCTAAAAGCTTTGGATCTATGTTTTCTCTAATTATACATGCATATGGTTTCCAAAGCTTTAAGCCTATAACTAGCATACAAATAACATATGTATAATAAGACAAGTTTTAGACATACCTTTTGATGTTGTTGATGTTGCTAGGAGGACTTTGGCCTTTAAGAACTCAGTGCCCCGAGTGTTGCACCTCAAATGGAATCACAACTCACCTAGGACAAAGGATGACATTTTGAGAGAGAATTCCATGCACCAAAATCGTCCATCTTTCTCTAAGAATAGAAGCACACGAAATTGATCATGAAATAACATATTTATATGTAGGATTCCAAAGGTCATGGGTATAACCCAAATCCATACCCACGGTTTTTATGATCCATGGTTCATGTGGCCCAACTCTTTATGTATCCATACATAAACTTAGTCCAATATGGATCATAAGCCCAACACATATAAATATGACCAATTATCATAATTAGTCCCCATAGATTTAACTAGTCTCTTTTGATCACTAAATTAATTCCAAACTAATTCTTGATCAATACTAATTAAATCATATGATTTCATATTAATATATTAGAACTTATATTATATTAATAAATCATATATAACCTCTTCTCAAAAGTCCATCCTTACAAATTGTCCTGATGTTATGCAACCCAAATAGACCATGCTATTATCGGGTCGAGTACATACCAATAATAGTTATGGGCTTAGACATCTAATCCAACACTATATATATATACAATTATTGAGTATAACTTGAATCCTATGATAAACTATATAAATATAGTTTACGGAACATGTTAAGACGTAACGGTTTTCATACCAACACGGAAAAAAACATATAAACTATAATAGGTGTGGTTTATGGAACAAAGATACTATTTTACAAAGTTCAGGTTACAATACGGAAACAAACCTATAGACTATAACAGGTATAGTTTATGGAACAAATGATCTATTTTACAAAGTACATGTTAACAGATGAACAAAAAGCGTTTTCAGATAACAGATAAACAAAAAAGGGTTTTCAGTTATTACTCGTAAACACGTTGAAGCAATTTGTGAGACGTTTTCGTGTACTTATCTAAGTACGGGTAAAAGTACTGACTTATAACCATAGTCTCTTGTAGGGAGAGCGAGATATTTATGTATAGATCTATTTGGGACTGACAATCCCACATCCTGACTGTTAGCTATAGTCAGGTCGGCAGGCCTGGGATGACAAATGTCTTTAACGTTCCGACGCCTAAAAAACATCATAATCAGGCCGACTGGGTCAGTATGGTTATAAAAACTCACAAAGAGAAAACAAAGACATACTTACGAATAATATATTATCAAATAATCTTAATTGATTATTAACCTTACATTCAGATTTCAGAGCAAATATACTTTCAAGGGTTTTATATAAATATAAAACTATATTACATTATTTTGCTAGTACATAAGTTCTAGATTTACACGCAGTTACATGAAAAGCAAAACTTTATACTGTTTACCGATATGGTACAAACAGAAGTTCAGCAAAACCGTCGTTCCGGTTTTGGGGTGTGACACGTCCACACTCAGCTAGTAATGAGATACGGGACCCCGCCCACACTCACCTCCCTACCAGGCACATATAAGTATCACATAGACAACAAGTATAACTAAACATGCATACCTTCATCGGGTACCACCCGACATCGAACGTAGTCCGGAAACATACATCTAAACATTCCTTGGGCCCCGCCCGATATCGGACCGTAGTCCGGAAAGCATACAGATATTCCTCGGGCACCGCCCGACATCGGACCGTAATCCGGAAACATACAAATACAGACACATGCAAGAATCACGAAGACATCAAGCATACCAACATTCCTCGGGCACCGCGCGACATCGGATCATAATCTGGAAACACATAACATAAATATGGTCCAACATTGGTGCCTTCGACCCCTTCAAACAAGCGGAAACTCACCTCGAATGCTGAAGCTCACTGCACGAAGTCCTTAGCTGCAGTCCTGCCGACTCCCCGAGCTATCAATACCAAAATGTCACCCAATTAGCAATTAGGTTCCAAACCATGCTCCATAACCCTTACTTGGTGTGAAATGACCGTTTCACCCCTGGCCCAACAAGATTCACAACCAAGGCCAAAAACTATAAAATCCATAAAAACCCATCAATGGCCCAATTTTCTAAATTGGGCCCAAACCCTTACATGGGCCTTTCCCTAAAGCCCATTTACTTTTCTGAACCAATGATTTTCCGATGGCCCAATGGTCCAATCCCACTGGGCCCAATCCAGGCCTAACTACATTGGTCCCACTAAGGCCCAATTCATCATCCAAGGCCCATTAGGGCAAGCCCAACCAGAAGTCCATTACTCTAAAATCCTTAGTCCATTATGAGCCCAAACCAAAGGATAAGTCCAATACCAAGCTAGCCTACAATCAAAGAGACCAAAACTTGCACAGGTGATGCTCACGTCGTGAGCACCTTATGCTCACATCGTGAGGTCATGACTTTGGCCCAAACACTTCCTCGAACACGCTCTCACGTCGTAAGGCTTCATTCCTCACGTCGTGAGTCCGAATCTGACCAAAAATGAGTATTAAGCTCCTAATCCATTAAGCCTTAACATGGGACAGTCTAGAGGGTCTTCCTTGACCCCAAGGACCATAAAATCGAAGATTTCTAGTCATATATGTCCAATACATGACTTAAACACCAACTTAGATCAAAATGAAGGAAAAAGGGCCAAGACTCAAACTTGGAGTCCAAAACCATGACCAAAGTCCAGATCTAGAACATACAGGACTTAAGATACCACCATGATCCATAAAGTTGCCAACTTTATGGATCCCATGCATGTTAACCAACATTTTATAATCAATAAAATGCATGGAAACTTAGATCTAGCAAGCAAGGAAAGGAAAGGCATGAGCTTGAGACTTACAAAGGTCCAAAAGCTCCTTAACTAACTGATGATCAAGCCAAGATGCTAACAAATGCACCACCAATGATCTTCTTCTTCCTAAAAGGGCTTCAAAGCCTCAAAATCTGTTGAACAACACCAATAATGACCAAGAACTTCAATGTGGGCTGAGATTAGGGTTTTCAGAGGTCTTGGGCGTGAAAGAGGCTGAGCAGAAGCAACCCTAATCATCTCATACCTTTAAATGCCCGAAAATTAGGGTTTTGGTGCATCAGGCGCTCCTCACGTCGTGAGCACTTCATGCTCACGCCGTGAGCCTTAAATGAGCTTGGTCAACAAGTCAACGATCACTCACCCGAACCACTCCAACTTCAAATGGCAATAACTTCTTCGTTTCAACTCCGTTTTTGACGTTCTTTATATCCACGGAAAGGTGGCGAGAAGCTCTACACATCTATCAAATTATCCTCACCTCAAAACCTTCCGAACGAAAATCCAAATTCATAAAGAGCTCGAACTGCCACTTTACCGATATACCCCTTGGCTCCAAAACACAACCCAAACTCCTGGATCACCTCAATTACATTATCCGTACCTAAATGGGTCTAGATACCTCTTTTCCAAAGGCCCTAAGCCTTATGATAAACTATCTTCAGGCCACAGTCCCGAATTAGGAAAGCGATTCGGAACAGGGCGTTACATCAAGACTATTTTCCCGTTTGGTTTGAACTTTACAAATTGTTTGCCCTTTGGAAACCGTGGGTAAGAGGAATTAAATATGAAGACTCGAGGTTAGAAATGAAGACTCGAGGACGAGTCTTTCTTAAGAGGGGGGAGAATGATGCATGTATGGAGGAGGAAGGCCAAAATGCTGATGGGCTAGTACTTCCTATTGGATTCGAAGGCTATTTGGGTTCAATGACCCGTGGGGTTGACATGGTGACCTTGGTGGATTAGGGTTACATATTTCAACTCTTGAAAACGTTTTTAGGCATTTAATTTGTTTAGTTAATAAGCCTTAATAAACCTCAAGTAGTGTTTTTATGATTAGCTTTTAATTAGCTTTTATTATGTTTAATAAGTGTGGCTTTTGAGTTTGTAACCTCTGGTTGTTTTTGGCTTTAAATAGTCATTTGATTCATCATTTGAAATAATCAAAAAATTCAGAAAACCCTTTGTATTCATTCGAATTATTGCCATAATTCACATTTTATCATCTTTTGGACATGCTCCTTGAGTTGATCGAATTTAAACTAATAGGTCTTAGTTTGTTTTCAGATTTACAAGCTATAGGTCTAGTTTGTTTATCAAATCTATCCTTATTTTTTTTGTCTCAAACATTATTTAGAAAACCCAAAATATCTAGTTAATCAATATATGCTGCTAAACAAATTCAAAATTCTACCCAATCCTGAATAAAACAACCCATATTTGCATCACCTGGAGCTCTCCAAACTCCAAGGAATACAAGCAAAAGGGACCAAATGAGCTTAAATTCTAGATTTAGAAGCCAAACATGATAAAGATTCAAACTTGAATACTTACAAAACACCAAGAGATGACAAAGAAGCTTATACTCTCTGGATCTAGCCTCTAGTGCACCAAATCAACTTGCTTCTTCTTCAACTTCACATGAAAAAGCACCAAAAACACTTGAAAAGAAGAGAGGAGGCTAGGGTTTGAGCTATATGATTTATGAGAGATGGAGGCTGGATGAACGAGGAAACCCTAGAAGTTAGAGCCTATAAATAGGGTCCAAAACCCGAGAGCTTGGGTTTTAAGCTGTTGTGGCCATGCGTCGCGACCCACTAATGGTCACATCACGACTAAAATAGTTGGCACGCGCTGCAGACCTGCGAAGCCAACCAAAACCCACATTCATAATCTATTAATATAAATAAATAACATATCGGGAAACATGCATTACACTCTCAATCGATACTGATGAACTGAGAAGAGAGGTTGCTCCATATAAACAAATTTTCGATTTCTACACTATCTTCCACATTATTTAACACCTAATCCAACAACTAACAGAGCTAAACTTAGAAAGTTAACTCTTTTAGTCCCTCTTCATCTATTTCATGAATAAAATGGTCCAAGAGTTAATTAAATGAGTCAACCATTTGGTTAAAGGCATTTTCATTATTTTGAAACATTTAGCCCTTAACCTTCAAACGGTGAAATTTTACCTTATCCTTTCCAACTACTATTTGAGCTATTACTATGATTCATTTTTATAACTAAAATCCTTCTATCTTATTTGTTTATTATTTTTTAATTTACGCAAAAAATTTAGCCCAAAAACTAGATGTTAAGTGTTTATATTTTATATACAGATAGTGTAACCTATCTACATGGCTATAGAGAAGAAATGACTAAGTAAAAAGTCACCTCTCTATTATAGAGGTTGACATTATCGATCACATTTCAGATTTATGGGATGTTTTTAGGCGTAAAAACTTAAATTTTTTTCCCAAAACAATAAATATAATAATGATAAGAAAAAATACTAATAATAAAAGTAACAAACATATTTAATGTTTAAAAGTGGACGTAAAAAAGATACCAAGGATTGTTTAAGACCAAATCCAATAATTTAAATTTTCTAATTTAAAAGATACCTTTTCTTCTTTGACGTGCTTTGGTTTATCTAAACATTTTTGGCATGTTATGGTTTACGCCAATGATCCCAAGCAACAACAGACAGTAACACAATGGCTTTTACACTGTCGTCATTCGTCAAGCAGCAGGACTATTTTAATCGTCGAATACCCACCAAAGCTTTGAATGACAGCCACTTGCAGAAGACCCGTGCCGAACTAAAACGAATGCTATTGTTATTCAAACTTGTAGGCCTAAATCAGGAGCACTCGCACTCTTTGTTGACTCCTTTGTCTTCGTATCTACAATGAATTAGAGTTGGATACGCTTACGCATCACACGAAAGAGAAGATGGTGACGAGGAAAACAGCGTTCATGTTTCTTCTAGCACTGAAATTCATCCTGTTCATTAGACTCGCAGACTCTGTGGTTCCACAGGACGAAGGTAGATCAGATTTTGGAAGAATTTTCTTATAACTTTATTCAATCGGCACTGAAATGAAATGATTGTTACGATAATGATGATCCGTATGTGTATTTTTGCTAGTGATTTTATCTAACTAGTCTAAATCATCAAATGTGTTTCAATTCCCATGCTGACTACTCCAAAAAATGAGTGGATTCATCATTGATTTTGACCTAAAATCCTATTGAGCTTGATCCATGTAAATTTTCCGGTCTCACATGAGTTGTGACTTTTGAGGCTCTTAGTAAGCTGTCGGTAGTGGGTTGTTGATATATTATCACAACAGTTAGTTTTAGGTAGAATTTTCAAAATATAATGTCCTACATAAGAAAATATTAAAAGCACAATGCTATGATTAGCTAGATAGATTCTCAAAGTACCACAACCGAAAAAGAAAAACATTTAAAATTACAACCCCATAACAGAAATAAACAAAAGTAGAATGTTATAATTCACAAATAAATGGAAGTACATTGTTAATTCATGCATTTTAGCCATCTCCGAATGACCTTTTTTTACAAATTATTCTCCTTCAGTGGAAGCTCTTGAAGAAATTATGATTTTAATGGGTGCAACAAATTGGAGGTTGAATGGTAACTCTTGTCAACTTGAAGCAATATCTGAAATGCCAAAACCCCACCCTGAAGCCGATGCCAAGGTCCAATGTGACATTGACTGCAACAATGATAACTCCACTGATTGTCATGTTGTAAGCTTGTAATGTTCTTGTCTTATTTTTTCTTCATTTCAATTATATTACAATAGTGTGTTTTTTTAGCTTGAAACACGAACAATGTTCTACCATAGTTTTAGAATAGGGTTAAATGCAAGAAATAGTAACCTACTTTTATTTATTTGTTTAATACTTTAATATAGTATCCTACTTTCATTTCTTCTTATTACAATGTTGTATTTTGAAAATTTTATCCAATTTTAACAATCTCATCTAAATATAAATCAAAATTCACTGCTATAATTTGATATATGTTTCAAAGAATAATGCCCTAGTAAGAAACAATTCCTTTTTCTTATTAGGGCATTATAAATTGAAAAATCTAGAAGTATAGGAGTGAAAATTTCGTTGTATTTGGAAGACATTGCTACAATTAGGTAGATATTTCAAAGTAGGATGCTATAAATAATAAACAAATCAATAAAGGTGCATTGCTATTTCTTGCATTTAACTGTAAGTTAAAAGAGAATTATTTCCTTTTTGACTGTTAGTAATAATCTAATAATAATATATCTACCACAACCGCCTCTTTCTTGTTTGTCGTTTTGGTTCTCAAAGATGCTTTGGATATTCCATTTAATGCAGCGTACATAAGTTTTATAGTCTTAATGGTGTTCTTCCACGTGAACTTGTAAAGCTTCCTTATCTTCAAACTATGTAAGTGAATTTTAGATTAAGTGGTATGACTATTTCAATATGATTTGACATGTAGTGAAACTAATATATTGTGCTTCCTTTGTAGTGATTTTGCTTACAATTACCTTGGTGGCAAGATTCCATCTGAATTGGGCTCAACGCGGTTGCAATCAATGTGAAATTTTACATAATTTTTTTTTTTGGCCTCATTTGCTACACATGACATAACATAACCATTTGTTTTGTGTGTGGCGTGCATTGGACTGTGACTATCACTGACTGTTACTGTTACTGTTACTGTTACTGTTACCGTTACTGTTACTGTTACCGTGACTATTGATTACTGATGCAATAAGACAAAAGTTTCAATTTTGTGTCCCACCAAAAAAAGTGGAAAAAGCTGAGAGATGGACTTGTTCTCAATGATAAGAGAAGATTTCTAGGGCTATTTTTAATGATAAGGACGAGGAGGGCATTTAAGTCTTTTTCATAAATGAGAGATTGAGAGTCACTGCCCCCACCTTGTTCCGATCTTTTCATAGGTTTTGACCGCAGTTTCTGATGCAGATCTCTTCTTGGAAACCGCTTATCCGGGGAAATACCAGGGGAACTCGGGAATATTACAACTTTGACATATTTGTATGTCTTATTTAATTATTCATTAAATTTCTTTTTTGGTGTTGCTTCTTTTCTCATTCTACATTCAAGTTCCATAGATCATTTCATTGTAATATACCAATAAATGACAGTGTGTTTCCATTTTGACCTTATGGAAAACATTTGCTTAGTATTGCTATGTATACTTATATTGTAACTACTGATTTTAATTTTTAACCAGGAACCTTGAAGCAAACAACTTTTCTGGGACTATTCCTTCTGATCTTGGGAAATTGATTAATTTACAAGCATTGTAAGACTTATTTCCTCCCATTTTCTTTGTTCTTCAACTAATCTACTATTTGTTTAATATGTTTTTTTTATGATAATAATTTCAGGATCTTGTCCTCAAACCGGTTGACAGGGATGTTGCCAACTTCCTTTGCTGAATTGAGAAGCTTAACAGATTTGTAAAAACTTTTATCCTGTGTATTTAAAATCAAATCTATTGATCTTTTTACCAATCAAACGAGTATATTTTCAAGGGCTAAAAGCAAGAAATAGCAACATATTTTCATTTCTTTGTGTATTGCAGGATTGTACTTTCAATTTTTTTTCTTACTAAGGCATTATATAGCTTGAAAGTCTACCAACTTATAGCATCATACACTCAACTTTTTTCTTATTATAACAAGGAAATTTGCTTTGTATTTAGATGGCATTGCTATAATTAGGAATATATTTCAAAGTGCATTGCTGTGATAGAAAGAAATGAAAATAGGATGCTATGATATACAAATCAATAACATTGCTTTTTCTTGCATTCTAACACTATTGTCAATAGGCTTATACACAAATCAATTTTCACTGCTATAATTGGGTTGGATTTTTCAAAATTTAATGTCCTAATAAGAAAATTTGGAAGTACAATGCTATAAATGGTAGATTTTTCAAAGTACAATTTGTTAATAAGAAAAAAAACTAAAAGTACCAGATTATAATAGCAAGAAATGAAATTAGGATGCTAATACACAAATAATTGAAAGCACATTGCTATTTCTTTTATTTAGCTCTTTTATATATGTGCAGCTTTTGTATCAACTTATAAAATTTACATCAATTTAAAGATGAGAAGTCGTCTGTTTCACGTAAAATTTACATCAATTTGTTTTTGGAAAGGTGGGGTTAGTTTTGTTTTCACAATTATTTTGAAGGTTTCATTTTAACTGAGAAAAAATTTCTTATATTACAGTAGGATAAGTGACAACAACTTCAGTGGATCGATACCTAATTTCATACAGAATTTGAGGCAACTCAGTAAACTGTAAGATCAATTTCCATTGATAATTCACAATGTATATTGAGATTTAATATTAATTTCCATTAACCTTTTCCGTGTATTTGTTTCAAAGAGAAATGATTGGGACTGGGCTTCAGGGACCAATTCCTTCAAACATATCCCTTCTTCATAATTTAAGTGATGTGTAAGTGTAAATACTAAATACTAAATACTGCTGTTATATGCTTTTGAATAACATTCTGGTGATTTCTATTTATGACATTTGTACTTTGAAAATCTCCCCAATCATAGCATTGCAAATTGCTTTGTTTTTCAAAGTATGATGTAATAAGAAGAAATGAAATCAAGATTCTATAATAAACAAATAAATGAAAGTGTGTTGCTATTTCTTGTATTTAACCATTCTAGATATGATTTTTTTTTTTTTTAAATTTTTTTGGTGTTATGGGACGTGACTATGACATGTGCTATTTTTTTTTTTTTTTTTGCAGGAGGATATCTGAAATAAGTGGACCAACTCAGAGATTCCCTCCTTTAGATAATGCTATCGGTTTACTAACAGTGTATGTAATGTTTCTGGTGTATAATTGCCATAATTTTATCTAGGATTTTTTTTATTCATTGATATTGTGAGGTACTCAGCTCAATTTATATACAATACAAGACAACTTATAATTACAATATATCTTAAACTCCTCAAGTTAGAGCACAACTGGTAATCATGCATAACTTGTTCTAACAAAATATAGGTTAAATACAAAAAATGGCAACATACTTTCATTTATTTGTTTGTTTTGAAATTTTTACATAGTTATAGCTTTGTACTTGGAAAATTTTAGTCAATTATAGAAGTGAAAATTGCTTTTTAGATGGATATATGATTTGGTAGATTTTTCAAAGTATAATGAACAAATAAATGATATTATCTTCTATTTCTGGCATTTAATACTAAGCAAGGAAACTAAATGAAGCTAAACAAGGAGACTGAATCAAGATATAAATCAAATTAATTGACAACTTATAATTACAATATATGCAACACTTAACTTACGGTTATTACTATTTGATTTACAATTTCTTTTTTTCTTGGAGTTCAGTGTGTTGAGAGGATGCAACATTTCTGGAGAGATACCTGCTTATATTTGGCAAAGAAGAGATCTTCAATTATTGTAAGTAGCACATCACATTCACATGTGATAATTCTATCCATTTGTATTATTGTATAGTACTCAGATTATGAGGTGTGTGTCTGGAGTGTGTATTACTAACATTTTGTTGGAATATAATGTGTAATTGGGTAGCTTTATTATTCTCTCTATTTTTAAAAAGAGTTAAATGCAATAACAGAAAAAGTACTTTCATAAATTTGGTTATTATATCATTGCAATGTCATCCTAATACAAAGCATTTGCCATTGCTGTAATTTGGTATATTTTTCAAAGTATAATTTCTTAATAAGAAAAAGTTGGAAGTACACTGCTATAAGTGGCTAGATTATATTTATAAAAAAATGGAAGTTGAAAAACAATAAACAAATAAATGAAAGTACATTGCTATTTCTTGCATTTTGCCCGTTTGAAAATGAGATGGCATGTACTATAATTTTGTCCATTTTGCTTCTAATTTTTGAAGTCAATATATGTATATATTCATTTGTATCCTTTTTGTTGTGAACTTAACAGGGATGTAAGCTTTAACAAGTTAGTAGGGGAAATATCGAATGACATTGTTGGTAGGAGCTTGCGTTATGTGTAAGTATAACCAAGTCAATTTTTGAGGATGTTTTGAACTTTGTCCTTTTATGTATACAACTATACATGTACATACATGCATGCATCCATATGTATCTGCAAAAGGGTTATTCAGTTATTCCCATAATGTGATATGTGTTCTTGTGGTTTGTCTGTTAGTATTTTGTATGCTCTTAACATTTGGTCTGTTTCATGATTGATAACCATGTGATGGATGCGGTGTGAATAGGTTTTTGACAGGCAACATGCTAAGTGGAGCTATACCCAACACACTCTTGATTGAAGGAGCTACCATGTATGTCTTTTTCATGGATGTTATACCATTCTCATGCATATGGCTCATAAGAGGAAAAACAATGTTGATATACACATATATATGAATACATCACCAAATTAGCTCATAACGTGTTTTATTTTCACATTGATTAGTGACTTGTCCTACAACAATTTCACATGGCAAGGGCCAGATCGACCCACATGCCAACCAAACATGTGAGAGTTAGTTTTATATTTTTCCTTCTGTATACCATTTTTTGCTTTTCTCAAGTTTCTAATGCCGATCCATCTGTGTCTTTGTTTCAGGAATCTATACATCAATTTGTTTAAGAGTTCGGGGAACACATTGTAAGTCTATCCGTATTGTGTTAAATGCAAGAAATAGCAACTGACTTTCTTTATTTGTGTATTATAGCATCTGACTTTCATTTCTTTCTATTACAACGATGTGCTTTCATTTTTTTTTCTTATTAAAGCATTTTACTTTGAAAAATCTACCCAATTATAATATTATACTTTCAGTTATCATCTTATTAAGACCTATACATTGAAAATTCTATCTAATTGTAGAAGTGAACTTGCTTTATATTCGGATGAAATTTGCTATAACTGGGTAATTGGGTAGCATTTTCAAATTACAATTTTTTAATAGGGAGACATGAAAGTAGGGTGCTATTGTAAACAAATGTGCTTTAAGTTTTTTTTTTCTTATTAGGGCATTATACTTCTAGTTATTTATCCAATTATAGCACTGAGATTTGATTTGGATTTGAATGTCATTGCTATAATTGGGTAGTCTTTCAGATTACAATGTTATAATAGGAAGTAATGAAAGTATGATGCTATAATAATCAAATCAATGATAGTTCGTTGCTATTTCTTGCATTTTAACAAAATAAATATATAAAACCCACTAGAAAGTATAAAAATATCCACTTGTAGTTTGTGTAGACGAAAGTCGATAAATATATGAAACTATAATTCTAAGGCAAGTCTAATCTATTTCCGATTATGTGCATTGTGAGAATATTATTTGAAAAGTCATGTTTTTATGCAACATTTATGTTTATCTCTCTTACATTTACATCATTAATAGACAGGATATACTGCCATGCATAAGGGATGCCACATGTCCTAGATGTAAGTGCTTTCTATTTGAGCCTAAATCTTTAAAGTCTTTCTTTTTTATGCACCATTCATGTTTATCTCTATATTGATATTAATGATAGAGATGAATGCCATAAAAGGAAGTGTACTTTCATTTATATGTGTATTGTAGCATTCTAATTTCCTTTCTTTCTATTACAACATGCTACTTTCACCTTTTTCTTATGAAAGCATTGCACTTTTAAAATCTCCCCGTTTATAGCATTACACTTTTGATTTTTTTTTTATCAAGACAATATACTTTGAAAAATCTACCCAATTATAGCAGTGAAAATTTGTAATATGAAGACTTAAAAGTAGTATACTACAACTACAAGAAACAAGTCGATGAAAGTATGTTGCTATTTCTTACATTTAACCCTTAATGATAATATTTCATTTATGACAGATGGATGTTCCTTACACGTTAATAGTGGAGGAGATGATGTAAGGGTAAAAGAAAATGGTGTGGATGTTGTTTTTGAAGGAGATGCATCCTTTGATGGTGGTGCTGGAAGTTTTCATAGAACCAGTAATAATTGGGGACTTAGTAGCTCCGGAGACTTTCTTGATGACAATATTCAAACAAACCGTTATGTAGAATCTTTGCAAAATTCAACAAATTTAGCTTCCATTTACACAACTGCACGCCTCTCTCCACTCTCACTTACTTATATCAGCTATTGTTTGGAAAATGGTGATTATATTGTTGATCTTCACTTTGCGGAAATACAATATACGAATGATAGTACGTATAGAAGCCTTGGCAGACGGGTGTTCGATATCTATATTCAGGTGATAATCGGATAAATGCATGAAATAGCAATGTGCTTTCATTATTTATGGCTTGCTTACATCATTCTACTTTGACAAAATTGCAAAAATGGTCCCTGTGGTTTGTCATTTTATGTTGATAAGGTTTGTTTGTGGAACAAGTCCCTGGAGTTAACCACCGTTTGTTTGTGTCTATTAAACCCCTCACGTGCACTGCACACGAGGGCATAATTGTCTTTTCACAAGAAGAACAATTTCAAACTGAACGTTGGGGAAGGTCTGCATTTATTAGTTCGACAATTGCAAAAAAGGTCCCTTGTGTAAAAAGACAATTATGCCCTCGTGTGCAACGCACGCGAGGGGTTTAACAAACACAAACAAACGGTGGTTAACTCCAGGGACCTGTTCCACAAACAAACCTATCAAAAAGGACCAAATATCCAACTTTCCAAAGGTTTGGACCTTATCCACATAAAAATGACAAACCACAGGGACCACTTTTGCAATTTGGTCTTCTACTTTCATTATTTTCCTTATTGAAGCATTGTAAACTCTACCTGGTTATAGCATTGTACTTCCAATTTTTTTTCTTATTAGGACATTATACTTTGAAATATACATCCAATTATAGCACCGAAATTTGCTTTGTATTGGGATGAAATTGCTATAATTGGATAGATTTTTCGAATACAATTTATAATAGGAAGAAATGAAAGTAGGATGTTGTGATAAACAAGTCAATAAAAGTAGGTTTCTTTTTCTCGCATTTAACCAATTAATTGACATGCATGTCACACTTGGTTATTTATATATATATATATATATATATATATATATATATATATATATATATATATATATATATATAT